TAACTCCTTGTCCAGTCTGCCTTAAATGATCTGATTCCCAGCTGATTTTTTCTTTACTCAAAATATATTTAATTTTAAAACAGCTAGCATTCAATACCAACTCAAATCTTGATGCATTTTAATCTCCCTGCCTGCTGCCCTCAGAGTGCTCACAAACGGTCAAGGACAGGACCTCCGTGAGGGGGACATGGAGGTGGGAAGCCAGGAGGAAGGAGGGGCTGACCAGAGACTTGGACCCAGGTCCCATGCGTGGAGAGCCAGCTCAGAGCTCTGGGGTCAGGTGGGCAGGCAAGAACCTGGCACTGTCTTGGTCACTGGCCCATTTGCCTTCCCTCAGCATCCTGTTCCCTCCTGAGGCTCCATTGGGCACAATCCCAGGTGAGGCCCGGTGTCCAGGTGAGGCCACGAGGGCCCTTAGCCCAGGAAAGGCAAATGTGCAGCCTGCCTTGGGTCCAGAGGGGCAGTGGGCTAGTTTCTGGGGTTTAGGAGTTTATCGCAGGGCAGGCCGCCAAGCACTCCCAACTGCCCGCATGGGATGGTCGTAGTCCCTTTGTCTCCTGGGGGCTGTTGGGCAGTAGGGTGGCTGCTGTGCCAGCCGGTAGGTGATGTACCTGCCTGTGGTTTTGCTGGTCCAAAGATCTTCACCACCTGCATCAAGGTGAGAGCAGGGATGGGCAGGACCCCCCCAGGGACCCAGGTGTGGGGGGTGGGGTGCAGAAGGGTAAGGTGACCCCAGGATCCTGACTCTAGGCGAGAGGAGATGTGGGGGCAGCTGACTCTTCAGATGGTTTTCCAAAGCTTCTGCCATGTTCCACTCCATTCTTCAGTACGCCAGCCATTTCCTGAGTACATTTGTTGTACACAATTATGCCACTTTGTCTTTATCCTTCAGGTTGTCTGTCTGGCTGTGATGGCTCTCCTGTGGTCTCTGAGCAAATCCTTCTCACTTTTGAAGCCCCATCTCCTCAGTAAAGCCTTCTCTCCCAACTCTGCTCCTCTACTGATTTATTTTTCTACAAAGTACCTTGGTATAACTGTGCAGCATTTATCTCGTTTACATCTCCTGTTATATGAAACACAGGTTCTAAGCATGGTCTCACATTCCTTCAACCCCTTCTTGCTTCCTGAAGGCGTCTTCTGCCACCTGGACCGCTGTCTTCTTGGCCTTGCCAGCAAACCTTACTGCGCTCCCCAGACTGACTAGCACCCAGGTTAAATGGGACCTGTGTGTCCCTAATGGCCCCCACATCAAGTCCTCTGTCTTCTCAGTCACCCCTCCACTTTAGAGATAGAGGAAATGTCACACTCCAGGCCACAGGATCTGGCTTTCTGAGTTGCTACTGAAGGGTGAGATGATGATCAGAAGTGAAGGAGTCAATTCCCAAGGTGGAACACAAAAGGCAGGAAGAGTCTGGCAAGCTAATGCCCCTCCTTCCGCCCTTCTGTGGACTACTCGGGCATGGTTTCCCTTTCAAGCCTTCCAGAGACAGTCAGGCTGCTGAGCGAACACACGGGCCGAATGAGCAGCATGTCCTGGCTCTGGTTCGTTGTGAAATCTGCCAGTCAGGTAATCTACTGTGTCATAATGCTTTACATCTGTCCTTGCTTCACTTCCCCTTTATCCTCGCCCTCACCACCCAAATAAAACATCAGCCCTTTAATACTTGCTTCAGGCTCTCCTTTCTAGGGTATTTGTTAATAAATCGGGCACAGTCGTGGTTCTAATTGTTCAGCCATGCATATGAGAGTGGGAAAAACCAGAGCTCTTCCACTGATTTGACGTTGAGATCCTACAAATATCTGTACTTTTTAAGAATACAGAAATGTCAGTTACATCCAAGGTACCAGTTTTTCAAAAGTACAAGTTATTTTCACATGACATGGGAGTAGTTTTTGGTGTCTGGGTGTCTTCCATGACCCATTTGTTCAGATGGGACTTCCAGGGTTAGATTCACTTTAACAGATTATAACAGGCATATTTATGCAGGTCTATGTATTGTAGAGGAGAACAAGGTGGATATTAGGAAAGTTCTCATAACCCTGCATCAGATCAGTTTTTGAATTAATTTTATGGTGCATAATGATTTCCATTCTGCAGCTATAGGTAAAAGGATCATCTTTACCTCTGAGGTGACTTTTTGAAAAACGGTAAAATTCAACAAACACATTCAGTTTTATAACTACAATTAAGAACGATTTCATCACCCTGGAAAATTTCCTCATGTCACTTTGTAACCAACTGCTCCCACCAACACCAATCCCAGACCCTGGCAACGACTAACCTGTTTTATGTCCCTCTAGTTTTGCCTTTTCCAGAATGCCATGTAAGTAGAACCAGACAGTGTATGTAGCCTTTTGAAAGTGGCTTCTTTCATTTAGCATAATGCTTTTGAGATTCAGTCATGTCACCGAGTTCATTCCCTTTAATGCTGAGTTAGTGTTCTATTGTGTAGATATACCACAATTTGTTTATCCATCTACCAGTTGAAAGATTGGATTATTTCCAGTTTTTGACTTTGAACAAAGATGATATAAACATTTGTGTACAGATTTTTATAAACATTTTTCTAATTTATTTAGAAACTCTTTTCTAATTTATTTCCCTCGGAGTTGGATTGTTGCTGTGGGGTAAACTTGTGTTTAATTTTTTAAGAAACTGCCAAACTTTTCCAGAATTGCTGTACTATTTTATGTCCCCATCAACAAGGTATAAGAATTCCAGTTACATCCTCACTAGCACCATGTTGTCATTTTTTTCCTTTTATTCTAGCTAATCTAATACAGATATGTTGTCCTGTGATTTTTTAAAACAGCTTTAGAAATATAATTGGCATATAATACAATGTACATTTTAAAATTGTACAGTTTGATACATTTGATATGTATACACCCATGAAATCACTACCACAATTAAGGTAGAACATACCTACTACACCAAAATTTCCTTATGCCTCTTTGTATTCCCCGTTCTACCCCTATCCCTTACCCAAGCTACCACTGATGTTTCTGTTACTAGAGATTAACTTTTTTATAACTGTAACCATACAGCATGTACTATTTTTATATCTGGCTTTTTTAAATTCAGGATAATTATTTTGGGATTCATCCATGTTATTGTATGTAGCAACAGTTGGTCCTTTTTGCTGCCAAGTTGTGGCCCATTGTACGGATATACAATGGTTTATCCATTCATTTGATGAATATTTGGGTTGTTTCCAGTTTTTGGCACTTATAAATGAGCTGCTATGAACTAAGACAACTTTTTTTAACGTCTATTTTCAACCCACTTCATTTTATTTTAATTTATGGTCTATACAATACACTCTTTTGAAGTGCATAATTTGATAAATTTTGACAAATTCATACTCCCTGATGACTAACACCACATCAAGACATGGAACATTGGCTTCATTGCTGAGGCCGCCTTGGGGTTCTTTCCAATGCCTTTCACTCCCTCATCCCTAGCAACCACCAATTTGCTTTTAGTGACTCTAGAATAAATTTGTAATTTCAAGAGTTTTGCAGAAATGGGATCATACAGTAACAATTTTAGATTTTTGCCTTTTTTTTGCTGAACATGTTTTTCTGATTCATCCATGTTGCAAGTATTGGTAGTTCATCCTATTATGTTACTGAATAAGATTTCATTGTATGATTTTACCACTGGGCATTGGGTTGTTTTGTTTTTGGCTATCATGAGTAAATTTGTTATAAATGTTTATGTATAAGCCTTTGTGTAAACACATTTTCACTTCTTCTGGATAAATAACAGGAGTGAAACTTCTGGGTATGGTAAGGATATTTTATAAATAATTTTTAGTTATTAAATTAAATATAATTTTTAAAGAAAGTACCAAACTCTTTTCTAATGTAGTTATATTTAGACCAGCAATATATGAAGGTTCCAGTTCCGCATGTAGCACACTCGATGTTATCAGTCTAATTTTACTCATCATATGGATATATAGTAGTATGTCATTGTGGTTTTAATTTGCATATCCCTGATGGCTAATGAAGCTGAGCATCTTTTTATGTGTTTATTGACCTTTCATACATTCTTTGTGAAGTGTCTGTTCAAATGTCATCCATTCTTAATTAGGTTGTTTCTCCTACTATTTTGGAGTTGTAGTAGTTCTTTATATAATCTGCATACCACACTTTTGTCAGAATAACTTTTTCCAATTAAATATATTCCCATTGTGTTCAAGCCACAGAGTTCTCTCTGCTATTCCTTAAATAGGCTAAGGCCTTATGTGACTTAAAGCCTTTGAATTGTCCTTGTTACCTGGAATGCTGCTCTCCCAGATACACAGCTTGCTTCCAGACCTCCTCCAGTCACTGTTCAAATGGCCCTTTTTTGGTGAGATATTTCTTAAACATCCTATTTAAAACAGAGCCACTTCTCCTTTTTCTCTATAGCATATATCCGTAAGACAGCTATACTTGTTAACAAGATGAGCCCCAACCATAGAGAATGTGGGAAATACAGCCTGTTTAGAGGATTACCTCTTCTCTTGCGGGCTGTTACATTCAGGGATGACAAACCAAATTTCTGCGCCTGGTAGATGAAGAGGTTGATTTCATTAATGTAGTTATGGATCTCTCTCTACCCAAAACAACTCTCCGAGCGCAATCCTCTCCAGGAGATCCTCCCTAAATGACCACACTGAGAGCAAAAAGGATAATGAGTCCCTCCTGTCCCCCCAAAACTGTTGAATCTTGACCATCTGAGACAAATGTAGAGTTAATCTTGGCTGATTCTTTGCATAGGAAGTGAGGGCGTTTCGTTCAAGGCCCTGCAAGAGTTAGGGACAAGGATAAGGCTCATATCCAGACCTCAGCTTCCGACCCACGTGTCCTTTCAGCCCCGCTCGCCGGAATTGACGGACGCTACCTCGGTTCTCCTTCGCGTCTGCTGACAGGCATCAAGCTGGGGAATAAAGGATCTGTGAAAGGACGGGCGAGTGGGTGGAACTGAAGCCCGGAACCTTCCTTCGCAAGCATCCGGAAAACTGAGGACTGGAGGCTGGAGGGTATAGAGCGCAGCTGCCGCCCAGCTTCCGGAAGTTGAGGGCTTTGTTTCTGAGGGGAAGATCTTCCGAAACGGACGGGGAGGCGGTGGTGAATCCTTCCGGCGCAGGAGCGGTCGGGGCTAGCCTGGAAGGAAGAGGGCCGGAGGTGGGTGAGCGGGTCGATCACTGCCTGGCATCTGTAACTGGGTTTTTTTGAGATGACGCCTGTAGTCCCTTCAGCCCTTGTTCACCAGGCGCCTCCCAAGACCATGCTCTGGGAATGCAGCACGGAAGTGATAAGCTCAGTCTCCCTTCAAGGAACATGTAACTTAGGATCCTTAAAATTTAGATAAGCTCGCGATTCATTAAAGCTGTGACAAGGGCAAAGAAAGATAATAGGGACCCAACCGCAGGGCTCTGGGCGCTCTGGTAAATGGACTTACAACAGCGAGTTGAAAGGAGGGAGGAATTGGTTCAGGGGAACTACCAGTCCGAGAGGGCAGAGTGGGTAACTTGAAGCTGAGAGTGCGGTGGCCGGCGTGGCTCAGTGGGTTGGAGCATCCTCCACTTCCATCCCGGGTCGGGGCACGTGGGAGAGGCAGCCCGTCGATGGATGTCTCTCACATCAGTGTTTCCCTCCCTCCGTCCCCCTCTGTAATCATGTCCTCGGGTGAGGATTGAGGAGAAATTAAAGTTTTTTTAAAAGTGGGGTGCGGAGGTGCGGAGAGTCCAGGTCTTAGAATCTAGTACGCCTTGCCATGAGTTAGAGCCTATCACAAGAGCAGCGGAAGGACAAAATTTGATTTACATTTTGAAAGGATCACATTGCTCGGTAGAGGTTGGATGATAGGAGGGCAGGAATTGTGAGGTGACCACAGCTAGTAAGGAGGCCACAGCTGTAGATGAGAGACAGCGGTCTAGGTTGGTGGCTTTGGGTATGAGAGAGTCTTGGACTGACCGTACTGATATTTAAAGAGATAAAATTGACAAGACTTTACGGATTAGATATGCTATTTAAGTGAGATGATTCTAAGTTTCTGGCCCAAGTGAGTGAATTATGTAAAGCAAAACCAAACTATTTTGATGTGTGCTGAGTCCCTTTTACCCTAGCGTAAAAACTAAAGCCACAAAGTTTTTTGTCTCCACCATTCCATATACTCAGTATATTTTGTGTTCCCTATAGACAACACAGAACATACACAGATTTTTTTTTTTTTATAGAGGACAGTAAAAGAATTGTCTATAATCTGACTACCCAAGATGGCCATATTGTGGTGTGTTTCCTTCATGTTTTTGTTTTCTGCCTGCATCTTTTTGTATAATTGGGAATACATTCATTATAGCTTTCTCTGTCTATATTTTTCCCACTGGACATTATCATGACAATAAAGATTGAACTGGTGTGTGTCAGAACATTAGTTACAGATTTTTTTTTCCCCTAATTGTAACAGAAAACGTTAGATGTAATTCCACCAAGTCAGAGATAACTTTTTGGTGTATTTTACTTTCAGTGTGTGTGTATGTGTGTGTGTGCACCATTTATTTAATTTTACTTGTTTTTTAGAGAGAGGGGAATGGAGGGAGAAGGAGAGGGAGAAAAACATCAGTGTGCAAGAGAAACATCGATTGGTTGCCTCTTGCACATCGCTAACTGTGGACCTGGTCCACAACCCAGGCATGTGCCTTGCCCAGGAATCAAACCGGCGACCTTTCAGTTTGCAGAACAATGCCCAATCCACTGAGTTACATCAGTCAGCATCTGTGTACCTTTTTAAAAGTCCCATTATTTATGCCAAATTTTATTATTTGCTTTCCAGATATGTGTATTTAATGTTATTCATTGCTATTTTCACACATCTACTCTTCTACTTTTTAAAAATATTTTGTTTATGCTATTACAGTTGTCCCAATTTTTCCCTCTTTGCTGCCCTCCACACAGCCCCCTCCCCACTTCCCTAGTCAATCCCCACATCGTTGTCCATGTCCATGGGTCCTTATATATGTTCTTTGACTAATCCCTTCACCTTCTTCCAATCAATCTCCACCGCCACCCTTCCCTCTTACAGTTGTCAGTCTGTTCCATGATTCTATGGCTCTGATTCTATTTTGCTCATTAGTTTATTTTGTTCATTAGATTCTACTTATAAGTGAGATCATACTGCATTTGCCTTTCACTGACTGGCTTATTCTACTTAACATAATAGTCTCCAGTTCCATCCATGCTATTGCAAAAGGTAGGATTTCTTTCTTTTTTTACTACTGTATAGTATTCATTGTGTAAATGTACCACAGCTTTTTTTTATCCACTCATCTACTGATGGGCACTTAGGCTATTTCCCAATCTTGGCTATTGTAAATAACACTGCAGTGAACATGGGGGTGCATAGGTTCTTTTGAATTGGTGATTCGGGATTCTTTGGGTATATTCCTAGCAGTGGAATCGCTATGTCAAAAGGCTGTTCCATTTTTAATTTTTTGAGGAAATTCCATACTGTTTTCCACAATGGCTGCCCCAGTCTGCATCCCACCAACAGCGCACTAAGAGCTCCCTATTCCACATCCTCACCAGCACTTGTTTGTTGATTTATCAGTGGTGGCCATTCTGACAGGTGTGAAATGATGTCTCATTATGGTTTTGATTTGCATCTCTCTGATGGCTAGTGATGTTGAACATCGGTTCATATGTCTCTGGGCCCTCTGTATGTCCTCAGTGGAGACGTATCTGTTCAGGTCCTTTGCCCATCTTTTGATTGGATTGTTTGTCTTTCTGATGTTGAGTCATATAAGTTTTTTATATATTTCATAGATTAACCCCCTGTCCAGTGTATTGTTGGCCAGTATGTTCTCCCGTACAGTCAGTTCCCTTTTCATTTTGATGATGGTTTTTTTTTTTTTTTAGCTGTGTGGAAGCTTTTTAATTTGATATAGTCCTATTTGTTTATTTTTTTCCTTTGTTTCCTTGCCCCAGGAGATATAACAGCAAGAATACTGCTATGCAAAATACCTGAAATTTTACTGCCAGTGTTTTCCTCTAAGGTATTTATGGTATCATTACATAATACTTATGTCTTTTATTCACTTTGAGCTTATTCTGGTGTATGGTGTAAGATGTGGTCTAGTTTCATTTTTTTTGCATGTACCAGTCCAGTTCTTCCAACACCATTTATTGAAGAGACTGTCTTTACTTCATTGTGTGCTCTTGCCTCCTTTGTCAAATATTAATTGACCACAAAGACATTGGTTTATTTCTGGGCTCTCTGTGCTGTTCCATTGATCTGTGTATCTGTTCTTACACCAGTACCAGACTGTTTTGATTACAGCGGCCTTGTGGTATAGTTTGATATCAAGTATTGTGATACCTCCAACTCTTCTTTTTCAAGATTGCTGAAGCTATTCATGGTCTTTTATGTTCCATGTAAATGTTTGGAATACTTGTGCTAGATCTGTGAAATATGCCACTGGTATTTTAATAGGAATTGCATTGAATCTATAGGTTGCTTTGGGTGGTATGGACATTTTAATGATGTCAATTTTTTATATACATCAAGATTGCATATGCTTCCATTTATTTGTGTCTTTTTCAGTTACTTTCTTTGATGTCCTATAGTTTTCTGAGTACACATCTTTTACCTCCTTGGTTAAAATTTATTCCTAGGTGCTTTTTGTTGTTTGTTGTTGTTGCTGTAGTAAATGGGATTTTTTCTTAGTTTATCTTTCTGATAGTTCATTATTGGAGTATAAAAATGCCATTGATTTCTGAATATTGACTTTGTGTCCTGCTACTTTGCCAAATGCATTTATTAGGTTGAGTAGTTTTTTGGTGGAGCCCATAGAGTTTTCTGTGTACACTGTCATGTCATCTGCAAATAATGACAGTTTTAATTCCTCATTTCCAATTTGAATGCCTTTTATTTCTTCTTATTGTCTGATCGCTGTAACTAGAACTTCCAGTACTATGTTGAATAAGAGAGGTGAAAGCAGGCATCCCTATCTTGTTCCTGATCTTAAGGGAAATGCTTTTAATTTTTGCCCATTGAGTATGATGTTGCAGTAGGTTTTTCATATATGGCCTTTATTACGTTGAGTATGCTCCCACTATTCCCACTATGCTGATAGTTTTTATCATAAATGGGTGCTGTATTTTATCAAATGCTTTTTCTGCATCTATTGATATGATCATGTGATTTTTTGTTTTTAATTTTGCTGATGTGATATGTCACATTTAATGATTTGCGAATATTGTACCACCCTTGCAACCCTAGAATAAATCCCACTTGGTCATGGTGTATGATGTTTAATGTATTGCAAGACTACAGTTTTTAATGGTTGTTTAGTCACACCCAATCCTGTTATTCGGTAATAGGTTTTCAACTTTTTACTGTTAGTATGAGAACGACATCTTTTTACATAGAGTCTCAGATTTCCAACTTACTCCCTGAGAAAAAGTTCTAGAAATAGAACCTACCAGGTACAAAGATAAATGAACCTACCAAATTGCCTCACCCAAAAATCTCATTAAGACTTTGATTGCAATTATTTAAAAGATCACATTTTTGCAATGCTTTGTTTTTCTATCCAAGGTTATAGTTATGTCTTTCTAGCTATTCAGGTTGTCTCTTATGATTCTTTTATGTCTGTGTATAAAGCCTGTCCATTCCTTATTAAACTCACATTTAAGAAAAGGCCAATATTATTATTTAATAATGTGCCCTCTCTGCTTAAATTCCATGTGTGAAGTGGCTATCTTTGAATTGTGTTGTGCTTTTTTTCTATAAAATTATTTTCTTCTTTAATATGTGTGTCTAGGTTCTGCTAAAATACAAATAAAATGATGAGATCAGAAAATTTAAAAGCTGAGTAGAAGTGAAAACTTGTGGTCTAAAGAATCCATGGTATTCTGCTCCTAGTTGTCTGTTGAGGAAACTGCCCCTCAACCATGTATCTGAGGCCTCATCTGTACAACCAGGGGGGTAGGCAGCAACCTTGATCCTTTTAGAAGTAAAGAAAGCTACAAAAAGCTCCTCAGGGTTAGGAAGATAACATCTCATGAGGGTGTGCCTTTTTTTTTTTTTTTTTTTTTTGTAATTTTTAGAGAAGGGAAGGGAGGGAGAAAGAGAGGGAGAGAAATATCAATATGTGGTTGTCTCTCGAGTGCCCTCTACCAGGCACCTGGCCTGCACCCCAGGCATGTGCCCTGAATGGGAATTGAACTGTGACCCTGTGGTTCACAGTCTGGTGCTCAATCCACTGAGTCACACCAGCCAGGGCAGGATGTGCTTTTGGTATGGATTTTTCTAGGTAACAGTTCTGACATCTTATTATTAAAGTTATTTTTATTTGTTAGCAAGGATGTTTGTTATGAATTATAATGTTAACTTTTAAACAAATGAAGTCTTTTGGTCTTTTTGGTTTTATGCAGTAAAATCCTGCTTATCTGTGAAATGCAGTTAACACATCAGCTGGACCTATTTCCTGAATGCAAGGTGACCCTTCTGTTATTTAAAGATGTAAGAAATGCTGGAGACTTGAGGAAAAAGGCAATGGAAGGTGCCATTGATGGTTCATTAATAAACCCTACGGTGGTAAGTGCACTTGAGAATGAGTGAGATATACGGGGCATTTAAGAATATATTAACTTTTTATGATGTTATAAGTTAGCCTAAAATTGTCACCTTTAGGTAAAAAGTTCTTGTCCAAGCTGTGGAGTGGAGTCAGGTGTGGGCACTCTTGAATCCAACAGAGAGCAGAAGCTGAAGTGTCAGGCCCTGCCCTGACGGATAGGAAAGGTCTGGCTTCATACTGGCAGGCGCCTGACTTTCCATTTCTTACCTGAATTAGAAGTCTCTGCAGAGGAGGCGCTGCGCAGTGCTGAAGAGCACACCTGTGCAGTCGCATTGCTGGGACTTAATCCCAGCTCCTCCAATTATTATGACTTCGCACGAATGGTAGCCAACCTTTAAATAGCGTTTTTACTCTGTCCCTGGCATTATTCTAAGTGCTTTACATATACTAACTCGCTGCACAACAACTGTGTGAAGTGCTGTGATTACCTGCAGCTGACAGATAAAACACTAAGGAATTTGCCTGAGTTCCCTCATTGGTAAGCGACAGAGGTGGCATTCAAACCCGGAGATGCATTGCCTTCATTTCCTCATCTAGTGCAGGTGAATAAGAACACCGATTTCATAGGCTAGTTTTAAGATTTAAAGAAAGTAATACAAGTATAAAATATTTAGAATATGACCTTTTCCATATTAGTCCTTGATAAATGTTATTTTCAAATTTTTTACTATGTAAGTTTTTGCAGCTTTAAAATTCTATGATTTTTTTTTTTTTTTTGAACACTCAGGTCCTTGAGAGAGCAATTTTGAAAATATAGTCCATAGGAATTGTGATGAAGTAAAACAGCCTGACCTTGCAGTGGTCATAAGATAGGGCCTGCATCTTCAGAGCACTCACATTCTCTGTGTGTAATTCTTTTTGTTCTCTTTGGTAGATCGTCGATCCATTTCAGATACTTGTGGCAGCAAACAAAGCAATTCATCTCTACAAACTAGGAAAGATGAAGACGAGAACTCTAGCTGCTGAAATTATTTTCAACCTGTCCCCAAATAACAATGTAATTAATACAGATTTTACTTACTTTACTTCTGTTGACCTTCCCATGGTAACATATGTGTTCTCCAGTGTTGAGTTGAAGGCTAAATTCCTGTAAGCCTGTTGTTAGTTACAAACCAAAATAATAGTGATAAGAGGTCTGGACAGAGAGTTGAGGCTTAGCACTGCCTCTTATTAGAAAAATAAGCTTTGGAGTACAGGTCTTTTATCTCCTGGGTTAAATTTATTCCTAAGTGCTTTATCTTTTTTGTTGTTGCTATCATAAATGGGATTGTTTTCTTAGTTTCCCTTTCTGTTAGTTCATATTGGTATATAAAAATGCCATCAACTTCTGAATATCGATTTTGTATCCTACTACTTTGCCAAATTCATTTATTAGTTCAAGTAGTTTCATTACATTAAGTGAGGACAGTTTTATCTGTATTGGGCCAGGAAGATGCCCCTAAATGGTATCTAAATCTAAACAATAAAGCAATAGGCATGGATATTTATGTGTTATCATAAGCATCTTTTGTTTTCCCTATAAACTCCTTGAATATATAATTCATGCCTTTTCCATACACCAAAAGCCTGCCTGGTGCCCAGAACGGCCCTTCACATATGCTCATCCACATAGTCAGTGCAGAGGAAGAGTTTGCGGTTTGAGATACTGATAGTAATCAAGGTTATTGAGTTAAAGACATTGCACGCTGGCACATAAAAATAAAAAATAAACTGAAATTTTGCTGATTAAGTTTTAGTATTACTACTACTATTAATAACACAAGCACGTATATCATCCAAAAAATTAAGAAACCTGTGGTATGGTTTAAAATGCAGATGTTTGAAATATTTATAAAATGCATGGTCATGGTCATAGAATTCCCCAGTACTTGGAGGAAAAAATTACCAGATAATTATTGTTTCTTTGAGATCGTTCAAAATAATTCAAGAAACTCTTCAATTCAATAAACATCTGTTGAGTTTGTCCCTATTCCACTTACAGTTCTAGAAACAGAAGAAACAAGTACGTTCCTCAGGAAACCAGACGAAGAAAACAGAAGTTCAAGTGCCCTGAGATAACTCACATAATGGGAATAATAATTCGCTGTATGGGAACAGTAAAGAATAATTTATTCTGTAGGGAGGACGGCGTAGTGGGGAGTGATACTTGGACAGGACCTTGAAGGATGAGAGCACTCCAGGCACAGAACAAAGTGTGAGCACAGGCCAAGAAGTATGAAGTGATGGCATCTTCCAATAGTCCATGCTGGCTAGAAGGCAGGAGTGCGTGGTTGAGGTCACCTGGGGGCAGAGGAAGGGGTTGTTGGTGTGCTGTGCCAGGAAGTCCTAGGAATGAGGTGCACCTTTGAGCAGAGTCCTCTAAAAGCAGGACTGGTAGATGTTGGCACTGTTGACAATAGAAACTGTAGGCACAGAGAATCCTTAGGATATGAAAATGAGAGCCTGGGCAGGGAAGAAAGCAGATGGGAGACCCTTCATATATGGGAACTACTGGTTTATTGTCTTCTTTTTTTTCCCCCCTTAGATTTCAGAGGCTTTGAAAAAATTTGGTATCTCAGCAAATGACTCTTCAATTCTAATTGTTTACATTGAAGATGGAGAAAAACAAATAGATCAAGAAAACCTAATATCTCAGGTAGAAGGTCATCAAGTTTCTCTGGAAAATCTCCCTGAAATAACAAATATTACAGAAGTTAAAAAGGTTTGTAAATCCACATTTGTAGAGTGTGACAGATGAGGAATAGTACCAATGCTGTTTGCCGTTGCTCACCAATGCTGTTTTTTGAACTTCTAAGAAAGGTTAATATAATTTAAAATTAATTGAATAATAATAGATACAAAGAATTGGAAGATGCAGATTTATGTAAAATATAATTAAAAAGTTAGTTATAAAAGCATTCTCTAAGAGCCCTGGCTGATGTGGCTCAGTGGATTGAGGGTCAGCCTATGAACCAAAAGGTTGCTGGTTTGATTCCTGGTCAGGGCACATGTCTGGGTTGCGGGCCAAGTCCCTAACTGGGGAAAACTGAGAGGCAACTGATCACTTACCTCTCACACAGTGGTGTTTCTCTCCTCTCTTTCTCCCTCCCTTCCCTCTCTAAAAATGAATAAATAAAATCTTTTTTTTTTAAATTTTCTAAGAAAGGATAACTTTAAATATCAAGCTGACATAATACATTTGTAATACAAGAAATGTAACTTTAGTGTGAAGTTAATGTCTAGATGTATGCTTTTAAAACTGGTACAAATTTGGTTTCTATGTTTTGAGAGTTACCACTTGAGTTTAAGGAGGACTTTTGACATAAGTGATGAATTGCCATCTACTTTTGCATATTTTAAGCACATTTGTAATTTCATACCATTATCCCAATAATTATATGATAATTTCATTTATACATGTTTGTATATTAAAAGTTAGTAGTGCATAGATAATTAGCAAGTCATAATTTGTCTTTTATTTTTACAGATATATAAACTGTCTTCACAAGAAGAAAGTATCGGGACATTATTGGATAGTGTTACTTGTAGAATGTCAACAAAAGATGTTTTGTGAAATGACAGAAATATTAAAAATTTTCAGCATTTGTAAAAACATTGATTTTTCTATTCTTATTATAAAATTTATATATGTTCATCATAATTTTAAAACACAGAATGGTATAACAAAAGGGAAAAAAGTGTAATCCTACCTGTAATATTTTAAAAGATAATCACTATTAATATTATTTGTTATTCTAGTCTTCCATTTCCATTGAAATGTATTTTATTTTTTTATAATTGGAAGAGTAATTGCAAACATTTATTGGATATCTACAAGACACTAGGACTTTGCCTTAGTGATTTTATATGTGCCAGGTCGTATCCCTGCCCTTACTTCTCTGGCTGCTCTAGCATCCCCCTTCCAAGCTTCCTTGTCCAGTTTTACATACAAGAATTAATTTCATCCTCATACTTTGTGGGACAGATGCTGTCATTACCCCTATTTTACACATGGTCACTAAACTGCAGAGTAACTTGCCCAAGGTCCTACTGTGAGTGTAAAATCACATTTTATAAGTAGTTGGGGTTTTTTTCTCATTTTATATTTTGATTGTATCAGTCAAGGTAAACTAGTTCAGGGCTCAGCAGACCTCTCTGTGAAGGGCCAGATAGAAACTATTTATGGTTTTGCGGGCCGTGTGGTCTCTGCTGCATCTACTAAACTCTTGCCATTGTAGTGCAGGAGCATCCGCAGATAATACATAAATGACGAATGTGACTGCTATGTACAGAAATAAGTGATGAGCAGGATTTGCCCCCAGGGCCATGGTTTGTGGAGTTCTGAGGGACATTAGGCTGCAATTCTGGTCCCTGTCCCTCATTGGCTTCACACGACAGAAGTTCCTTGCTTACTCTGCAAAGCCAGTGTGAGTCGTAGGAAGACTTGTTGGAGTGACTCAGGAAACCAGTCTGCAGAAGGCTTCGTCTCAACGTGTGCTCCCTGGAGCACCGCACAGCTAAAAGCAGCAACGAAGTATAGGGTGGCCCCTAAAGCTTCCATGCGGAAGCGACGTACCGCTTATCTCATGTTTCGCTGTCCAAAGCCAGTCATGGCCGTGCCAACATCTACAGGGGTGGAGAGTTGTGACTCTGCCATGTGCTAGAAAGTGGAGAGGTAGGAATAACTAGGGAACAAACTGATGATCTCCCTCATGGTCATGAATAATAAAGTACAGAAGCACATAGCTAATGTTTCTTGCCTGCACTGTGCTAAGCACTCCCTCAGTTAGTCCTCATTACAACCCCAAGAGATTTACCAGGGATGAACCAGACTTGGTCTCTCAACTCTACAAAAATTTCAAGCACACAGAACTATTGCAAATAGTACAATGAATGTCCATATATCTTTCATGTGAATTCACTGTTAGTGTTTGCTGTATTTGATGTGTGTCAAACACCTGTCTGTGTGTCACACAAACACACCTGTTTTTCTTCTGAACTATTTGAAAGGAGGTTGCAGACCTCTTGGTACTCACCCTACATTGTATTCGATTGTTATGGCTCTTAGTCTCTCAATCTAGAATGGTCAGTTTTTAAAAAAATATTGACATTTTTTAAAAGAGTACTGTAGATATCTTTCAGAAATCCACAGTCTGAGATTGTTCATAATTTGAGTCAATTCAACTGTTTTTTTGAATAACATCGATTTTGTGTCCTCCTTGCTACATGTCATCAAAAAACACATAATGTCAGTTGTCCCCCACATTAGGGATACGGAGTTTGATCACTTGGTTCAGATGATACCCCCAGACCTCTCCATTTTAAAGGCAACTGTCCCCTAACGCTTAGAGAGCTGAAGCTCCCCCCAAGCTCCCCATGCTGTGGTCAAGGTTAAAGTCCAGATGTGCGAGGCCTCACGTGCTGAGCTCCCAACGACTCCCTTGCACCACTCCATCCCATGCCATCGCTCTCAAGCACGTCCATTTTGTTTGTTTTTTTAAAGGGGGAAGGAGACCAACTTATTATTTAAAAATTTGATTACAACCAATTTTGTTGGCATTAAACTTTGAGGTATTTTAAGTTCGAATAGGATATAAACCAAAAATCCAGAAATTAAGTTTGGTAAACATGAGGAGTTTTCCAGTAATTACAGATCTGAATGCAGAAATCAATTTAGAGAAACAGACAAACCCCATCTTTGCACTTATTGTGCCACACATTGAAATTTCAGTAGTGCATTAGTGAACGGTCCACATTTAAGGATCTTCACCTTGAGATATGAGAGCTGTTTCTTGAAAAATTCCTCAGTACCTTGTGCAGATAAATTGTCTCTTCCATGTACTTTAGTACACACTTAAAATTTCTCCATTATGTATATACAAAGCACCTACCATTTGGGCAGGGCCAAATATCTACTTTCATAACAAAACTATAATGTACCTCTCAAGTATGAACAATATAAACACAATACATGGCATACAGTATTTACATATATACTGTATATTGTATACATATATACAATATATGTCTTATATATACTGTATTACAAATATATAGTACGAGCAGTTTGTAATTTTTTAAACTAATCTTTTGCACTTTTGGTTTGCAACAAGGCAAATTTCCACTTCTGTACTAATATTTGAGAGTCCAGAAATTTTGGAAAAAATATACTTTACATACATACTGAAATCCAAGATCTAAGTTTGAACTTTTAGGCAAGTTTTTAAGTGTATTGCCATCAATTACCTATTTTAGTGGAATTTTCAATACTGCTTCCCGTCTAGTGACTAGGCGGCTTTGGAAGAACACTAGAAGGTGGATCGCTAAACTTTGCCCCAGCATGATTCTCCTTTTGGCTCGCTTCAGTTAGAAATGCTGATTTCTTCCCACTCTTTTTTTTTTTTTTTGGTTAATGTTCTCAGTATTTTTAAAAGGCTTCCCCCCCCCCCCACCCTGAATTATATCAGAAAAAACAGAATCCTGAGGTAAGTTATTTTCATTTCTTTTTTGCAGAGGCATTCTTGGTTAGTAGTGAGTTTTATTTGCTATCTTTGGTTGTTTACACAAGCGCATGCCAGGAACATTCTGTCCTTGGGGAATGGTAGTTTTGTCCGCTTTTCCTCTTCCCTAAATAAGGGCTGGCTAGGCGCCGCGGGAGGCAGCATGCCAGGGGAAAGGCTCGCTTCCTCCGCTGGGTTGTGTTGGCAGGACCTGAGCGGATGCTGGTCCGGGTCCCGCACTTCCGGCACCGCGCTCCGTCGCCACCCGTCGGGCCCGCTGGGCTCCGCCCCCTGTCCGGCTCTGACAGGGCTGCTCGTCCTGGCGGAAGCGGCTGGGCGACTGCCCTGCCGGGCTGGCCCGCACCTTGTTTTTTCGCCGCTGTTTTGGAGAGGCCCGAGGGGTGCCCTGCACCGGCGGCGCTGCTGTTGGGCCGAGGTGCTGGGGCGCCCGTCTGAGGGGTAAGACAAGGCCCGTCCCCGCTGCCACTTGGAAATGAGGGAGGAAGAGGGTGGAGGCAGTGCCCGGGATCCAAAATCCGGGGTGAAGGCGGAGGAGCCGAGGGCACCAGCGGGAGGGCCCCGAAGTAACCGCGCGTGGAAAAGCCTAGGGGCGCAAGGCGACCGTGCGGGACAAGCGGCTCCCGCTGCGGAACGGAGACGACGATCCCAGCGACAGGCGGAAACGGGCCCCAACGGAGGAGAAGGAGCGAGCGAAGCCGAAAATGAAAGGGGGCGCTGCTGCTCAGAGAGCCTGAGACGAGTGCGGCCGGTGCGCTTTCGTTTTGTTGCTGTGCAACCTGCCGCATACACAATTCTGTTACACATTTGTGTTGGTTTTATTTTTGTCCCCCTTTAAGAAGTAAATCTTGGTATATGTTTCTCTTTCTTTAGGATAGCTTCCCCAAAGCGGAATTATTAGGGAAGAGGATATGCACCCCTTAAGGGCTTTTAATACGAGAAAAATGCCATTTTTGCACCCCCAGTAGCAGAGAACAAGCCTGCCAATCTCTGCCATACATTTTAACTTTTAAGCATTTTGCCATTGTGAGATGTCGGGCTACTGGTGAAGTTGAACCCCTATGTTTATTAGTTTGCATGTTACGAAGAGCGGTTTTACAGGTTTTGTTCCTGTAACTATAGATAGTATTTTCAGCTCTTTCTAACAAGAAGAAAACAATAAAAAGCAATGCCATTTCCTGGGGAAGAAGAAGTTAACATAAGCTCCACAAGTCTTTTAGAGAAAGTAGTTTTCAGCCAAGTTAGGAACAGTGTCATTTATAGTAACCAGGTAACTCCAGAGCCCAAATGCTCCACCAGCAAAAGCAAACTTACTAGAGAGCCTTTGGTGCTGGAAGGGAAGGGATGCAATTTGGTAGACCATGTGGATTTGGCTCCTTAGCAGAAGACTACATATCAAAGCAGGAAGCTGGCTGTCTTCCCCTGTGTCTGGAATAAGGTGGGGGCAATAGGCTCTGTGACCCAGGTGAACACTGTTTCTCCACATCCCTCCAGTCTTGAACTGAGTCTCTGTAGGTGAAGGGTCTTTAATCCCCTGTCAACTACTCCCCAAGACACACACTCAAAACTACAGGGACTGCTCATACACCTTCTTTTCCAGAATCTTCTAACAGCCCACTCTCCACCCCAACTAATTACTAGTAATCACAGAGGTGAATGGACAACAGGCTCCCCCCACCCCTGTTATAGCCCAGCTCTCTGATACTGGGGTTTATGATTAACAAATGTCTAGGAGACAGTTAATGAGGTGGCCTCCAGGGCCTGGTCCCCAGAGGTAGAGCAGGCCCTGCACGGTCTTCCTGGATGCCAGTCAGAGGCTGAGGGAGGAGGCCAGGCAGAGCCCGCTCTGGACATGAGAGGCTTTGAGGGTAGCAGGTAAGAGGACACAGATGGAAAGACAGCGCTCTGGGTGGAGCCTGGAGCTCCCAACCCTTGTCTGGCTCTCTGGGCGGGGCCAGTTTTGGTGTTTGGTTCTTATACTACCTCAGCCTAAAAGCTTGCAATCAAGCGGGAAGGAGCCTTCGCTGAAACTTAGGCCCAGGAACACAGGATTCGGGTAATGTACGGACCCTGGCAGAGGGACCTAAGGTAGGGGACACACGCCCTGGCTGCTGTACAGTGTCACCCCAATGCAGCAAGAAGCTGAGAAGAGACAAGAAAAAAGGGAGAGAGGGTGGGGGTGGAGGGTACATTTTATACCAGAACTTTGTATGCATTGTTTTAATCAAATTCTCAGAACAATCTCAGAAGGCAGGTTTTGATTTTACCCTGCTGTGCAGATGAAGAAACAGAGGCTTAGGGAAGTTAAGTGGCATGCTTGAGGTCACACAGCTAGAAAGGAATGGAGCCAGACCAAATGCAGGTCTTTCTGTCCCTGGCCCCTCTCCAGGGGCTGTGGCCTACCTCCTCCCAGGCAGAAGCAGAAGGACAAGTCCTTGACTTGAGCCAGCTCTGCTGGTCCCTAAGAGATGGGAGGGCTGGCGATTCTCACACGGCTTCTTCTCTCCTCCTCAGGGCTGCCTGGAAGGGGTGCAAAGACGCCTAGCTCTCTCTGGTGGGTTCAGACACGTGTCTCCATGGCTCCTTACCACATCCGCAAATATCAGGAGGGCGACCGGCAGCGTGTCCTGGATTTATTCTCCCGGGGCATGACTGAGCATGTCCCCGCCACCTACCGCCACATCCTGAAGCTGCCGCAAACACTTGTGCTCTTACTTGGGTTGCCCCTGACCCTATTCCTGGCCTCTGGGTCCTGGCTCCTGGCTGTCGTGGCTGGCCTCATGCTTCTCGCTTCCTTGATTTTGCCTGCCAGACACCATTGGAATGAGTATGTGGTCAGCTGTTTGCATGCAGACCTGGCTGACATCACCAAAACCTACTTCAGTGGGCGTGGCTCCTGCTTCTGGGTGGCTGAGTCTGAGGGGCAGGTGGTGGGCATGGTGGGAGCTCTGCCCATCAAGGAGCCCACCATGCGGAAGAAGCAGTTGCAGCTACTTCACTTAAGTGTGTCTGTGGAGCGCCGGGGCCAGGGGATAGCAAGAGCCCTGGTCAGGACCCTCCTCCAGTTTGCGCGGGACCAGAGCTATCATGAAGTTGTCCTCGGCACCTGCATGCTGCAGTTCTCGGCCATAGCCCTCTACCAGAGTATGGGCTTCCAGAAGACCCACCAGTACTTCCATTCCATGGCTGGCAGGCTGATTGCTTTACCCATATTTCAATTTACCCACCGGCTTCCTTCTGCTCAGGTCTCTGAGGCATCATAGCAGAAAGGGGACCTGTCCTCAGCTTCCTCATGCATCAGTCAGCACAGGCTGGGCTCTGCGGCAGTAACAAGCTAACCCTGAGTTCTCACTGTAACACTAGAAGCTTTTGTTCGTGAACATGGAAGTGCCCCCAGGGATGGTGGCGGTCCTGCTTGTTTCCGTCTTTTTGCATTGTCACTGTTGCATCTTATCTAGTGATTCAAGAGTGTTACATAAAAAACAATCAGAAAAGAATAATAAACATTTACTCCGTTTATGAGTGTGTTAGTCAGCCATGTAGACTGGGCTTGGCTGGGCAGCTCTATTGGTCTTGGCCTTGTTCCCATGTTGTGGGGTGGCTGGTTCATATGTCATGGGGTTGGCTGAAGTGACAGGGTGACCCGGCTTTCTTATGTTCCAGTAGGGTCGTTCAGGCACGGGTTTCAGGGTAATTGCGGATGAGCCAAAGTAAAGCAGAAACAAGCAAATGCTTTTTGAAGCCATTGCAGGCCTCACATCTGCTAACATTCTAGGCTCAGCAAGAAGAAAGGGACCTGCGTGTTCAGTGAGAGGGGCCGCGGAGTCCCAGGCCAGTGGGACTTGGAGAGGAAGTATGGGGTGAACCCAGGTGAGAAGGACTGGGGCCAGGGATGCCGTCGGTCTGCCTGACCCCCGGTTGCTCTGCTGAAGGGGAAGAAGGCAGCCAGCGCCGGAGTGTGGGATGTTGACTTCCAGGCTGGACCTAGAAGTCATGCCGACCACATCCCACTGGCCGGGACCCAGGCACATGGCCCCAACAGGTCTGCAGGGAGGCAGGAAATGTGTGTCCTGGAAGAGAAATGGCAGGTTTCCCAGCTCTGCCACACCTGGGACCCCATCTCTGTCTCCAAATGCTCAGAGATTTTCCCAGGTACCTCAGGCTTTACTGCCTCATCCCGTTAAGCCTCTGTCTGGTCAACTGTGAGTCGGAACTGGGGCCCAGGGCTGGTGCGTGCAGCCCCATGCACCCTTCCCAGCTAGCCCATCACCAGATGGGTGTCCCACAAGTGTTCTCGAGCCTCTCACCAGGTCCCTCCATCCTGTGGCTAACATCAGGACTGGAAATCCAGGTGCCCTTTCAGGTGGACCTTGTGACACAGCAGTATCTGTGCCCTCTTTCTTCTGTACTGCTGTAGTCTCCGCTCAGAGCTTAGGTCTTCCGAAGTGCCATCCAGGGCACAAATCTGGCCTCATCCTGCCACCTAGCGTTGTAACCAGCACATTACATCTGGTGGAGACTTCCAACCGAGCATACAGGGTGGCTCCAACATTCATATTTCTCTTACCCGAAACCACAAGACTCAACTTTATCCCTCCATTTCCGTCTCTTTTGTCCCTGGTCTTGGAGTTCCCCCACAGTCCCCTCTGCCAGCCCATCGTCCTTCTCCAGGCCTACGCCTTGTACCTCCTTCGTGATTCTCAGAGAACTTGACCATCCAAACCACTTATTTAACTGTGCCCCTATTTCTAGGTTTTAAATCAAACTTTTCGGCCCTTAGTTGTGTTCCAGCCTCGATATGTAATGGCAAGGCCTGGGGTCCATCCTCCCTGAGGGGCAGGAAGAGGCAGGGACCTGCCCCCGTCAGCTCTCCGGAGTCCCTGGAGGTGGACCCATAGAAGGGGTCCCACACGGGCACCACTGGTGCTGGAGACAAGGGAGCCCGCCGTGAACGTGATGCTTTGAAAGGTTTTTAAAGTAACAGCTAAATGGCCTTACTGATCCCAGGCAGACGCGGTCCATGCCGCCCAGAGGCTTCCAGGCCAGAGGGGCTGAGGGAACAAGTAGGGGGCAAGGGCAGATGTGTTGTCATAAGTGGGGGATGAGGAAATTGCCAACAGCATGGTAGGACATCAAAAGGGCACCTAACCCCCTCTCTGGGGAGGGCTTCCCAGAGGGGCCAGGGCTTCTGCCCCTGAAAACCAAAACCCGGAGTGCGCATGTCCATCCCCTGCTCCAGTCCCCTGCACTCGCTGCCCAGCCCCAGTGAGCTGCTTTCAGTGAACGGAAGCTGTTTTTCTGCTTGCGGCCTTTGCGCATGCTGTTCCCTCTGTCTGGAACAGTCTCCTTCCACCTGTCCTCCACCCATCCTCTGTGTCTGTTCAATTCCTACGCTTTTCAGCTGAGTGGCAGGGATAGTTGGATTGGGAAGGCAAGTTTTGAAGAAGGGGGAAGCGGTTCATCCTGCTTTTATTCTGGCTGCTATAGCCATGCGGTTCCCGCTTCTCAAAGGGTGGTCCCCAGAGCAGCGGCCGAACAGAGCCTGGATGCTTGTTAAAGACAGGGTGAGCGGGGGCTCACTGTGCCCACAAGGGGTGTTAGCGCACTAGTATTAATCAGGGACAGTTTTCTTCTAAATGCAACATGGCACTAGCCTCCCATGAGCCCGTGGCTCTGCCTTAGGTAGAGGAATCAGGGGACCCTTGTTGGTCCCAGCTCGCTACCGCCTGGTTGTCCCACAGAGGGGCGGATGTGGTGTAACAGTGAGGACAGAGGCCAGACCCGCCCACTCTGTTTACACCTTGGCCATGTTCCCGAGAACAAATCCACACTCACTGCCAATGGAGTCTTTTTAAAATTTTATTTTCCAATTACAGTTTATACTCAATATTTTTTGAAGTAGTTTCAGGTGTGCAGCATATTGATTAGACAATCATATATTTTACAAATATTTACAAATGTTACAAAATGTTTGTTTACAAATATTTTACCTGATATTTCAAGTACCCACCTGGCCCTACATGGTTATTATGATATTATTGACTATTCGCCATGCTGTACTTTACATCGTTGTGACTCTTGTAAATACCAATTTGTGCTTCTTAATTCTTTCACTTTTTTCACCCAGCCCCCAATACCCCTCCCCTCTGACAACCATTGGGCTGTTCTCTGTGTCTATGAGTCTGTTTCTGTTTTGTTTGTTTATATTGTTCTTTCGATGCCAGTATAAGTGAAATCACATGGCATTTGTCTTTTTCTGACTTATTTCACTTAATATAATACCGTCTAGGCCCATCCATGCTGTTGCAAATGGTAAGAGTTCATTCTTTTTTATGGCCAAGTAATAGTCCATTGTATATGCGTACCACAACTCCTTTGAACAGTTTTCTTCCTGAAGGATTCATTAAGGGGCCCAAAGCTGTCCGGTGAATGTATCTGTCTGTGAACTGGAGGAGGATGCCAGGGTCAAGACAGTGTGCTGAGGGTGACCGGCATTAAACTGGAGCTTCAGATTGAAGCACCAGATGTGATAGATAGGAAATTTTACAATGAGATCAAAGACCAAAATGTGGAAACATCAAAGGAGATTGTCAAGACAGTTTAGGCGGTTGCCAAATTTTGCCAAAGGGGAACAGGAACAGGAACAGGGACTGATGGCTTAATGAGGGCACGTTTTCTTTTGGGATGATTAGCATGTTCTGAGACTTAATATAGATGGTTGTGCAGCATAATGAATATACTAAATGCCACTGAACATTTTAAAATAGTTTTATGCCATTTTTTTAAAAATCAGGAAAGAAAAAGGCCCTGGCTGGTGTGGCCCAGTGGACTGAGCACTGGTCTGTGAACAGAAGTGTCTCCAGTTTGATTCCCAGTCAGGGCGCATGCCAGGGTTGTGGACCAGGTCCCCGGTGGGGGCATGCGACAGGCAACCACACATTGATGTTTGTCTCCCTGTCTTTCTTCCTCCCTCCCCTTCTCTGTAAAAATAAATAAATAAAACATTTTTAAAAACCTTTAAAAAAATCAGGGAAAAAGGAATGAGTTAGATGACTCCTTAATCCAAAAAGAGGATAGAAATGTTTGGAGAGACAAGGATGTGGGGAGGTTTTGACTGGGAGAGGTGCCGCTGTGCTGAGTCTGCCCTTACCAGGCAAAGGGCTGAGGGAGGCGCCATGTTTAACCCCACGCCCGCCCATAGCAGAGGCCTGGAGGGCACCTGTGTCTCTCTGTGCTGTGGAGCAAAAGCACCGACCCTGAGGAATCTGAAAGTAGTAGTGCCTGTGGGCCTGGAACTTTGGCAGAGGTAGGAGGTTTTTCTTGGGGTCCGGGGTGTGCCTGTGTGTGTGTGTGTGTCCTGGCGGGGCTGCTTCTTCTGAACTGGGGCTGTGGGCAGTGGGTCCTGCAGGCCCGTGGGATGTGGACAGAGGTGAGCGGGGCATCCAGGGAACCGCATCGCACAGATCTCTGATTTGTGCAGGGACTGCTTAGGGCAGGTGTAGGAGACGGAGTTTTCCAGAAAGTAGAAATGGAGGAGGGCATCGTCCATGATAATTTTAGAGGCCAGTGACTTGAACCCAGCAGGCAGAAAACCTAGAATGCTGACTCCAAACTTCTTTTCACTTTCTTTAGTGAATAATTTGTTTCACTTGATGGGTGAGGTTTTATGTAATAGCAAGAGCCTCCCTTCACTTGGCATTTGCTTGGGTTTGGTCACATGTTATAGGGGGCACGCTAGCAGGAGATTGGAGGGGGGGAAGAGTAAGGCTGGAGTATTTACTCTCCTGTCCCCTCCCTGCGAGGTCCCCAAGGCTAGTTTTGTCCCTGGACCTCTCAAGGCAGCTTGCTCTACTTGAGTCTTGGATTGGGTTCTTGTCACTTCTCCTGCTCTCTGGCCTCAGGCCTCTGAGCAGTAACGCCGGGTTCCTGTCCCACCCTTCATTCTCTTCGACCACTCACACCTTCATAACTGGTCCCTTTGATTAGCTATATACAATCTGCTTGCATTACCTAGTTGAGTGTCAGGACCTGATACCATCTCTCTTTGTCAGATAATTTGTTTTCCCTGGAGCTGGAATTATTGTCCTAGGATTTCTGAACATCTTACCAAGATTCAATACCCCTTGAAATGATTTGCCATCATTTTCCCTTACTCATCTTCTTTAAGTTAGGAGTTCTCAGTGGAAGTGCAAGGCACTGACCTGCGATTGGGTTATTGGGACCCTAATGCTCGGTCAGGGGAGATGGTGTTCTTTCCAGGAACCTAAGGTAAATGAACCCAAACTGATTTTTGTCTTCTTCACATGAATTCCATTACGTAATGCCAATTGGTGGTCTGCCTTCCATCTCATTGACCCATTTCTGGGCTGTGCTGGCGCACTACGGCGGGGGTCCCCAATCCTCGGGCCACAGACCGGGGTCCATAGCCTGTCAGGAACCATGCTGCACAGCAGATGAGTGGAGGGCCAGTGAGCAAAGCTTCATCGCACATCCCATTGTTCACATTACCACCTGAGC